GAGAGGGGCTTTAAACCGGGCTGGGGGCGTGGCCTAGCGGGCGGTGGCAGTGCATCCCATTGGTGGTTGCCCGGCGGGGGCGTGGCCCCGCAGCCCTGCCCAGGCTCTGTTTTCCCGCCCAGGCGGTGTGAGGGCAGCGGCCGCCGAGACCCCCGCGGCCGGGATGCGGCGTTCACCGCCTCACGGCGGGGTGGCAGCGCCCGGGGAGAGCCCTGAGGGCGGCAGGAGGGGCTGGGCCTCGCCTGCCTCCCCCAGTGGCGGCCTGCTCCGGCCAGGCGGCCCCGGCTCCCCTTGCACTCGGGGGGGTGTGATGGGAGCCCCCTCCCTGGGGCTGCGAGGTGTTTGGGGAGCCTGAAGGCAGTGCTTGGCCTTGCTGGCCATAGGGGAGCACCCTCCTCCTCCCACAGGCACCCTGCCAGGGTGGGAGAGCCTGTCCTGAGCCAGCAGCGCTCCCCGCAGCGCTGCGTCGCCATCCGGATGTGCTGACGGAGAGGGGTGCGGTAACGCTGCACGGCATCGAGCGTCGACCGGAGCGGGACGCCCAACGCCATCGACACGCGTGACAGCGCCCGGCCGGCTGCCAACGCTCGTGTGGGCCACTGCACCTGTGAGTTGGGGCTGAGGGCCCCAGGGGGACAGGGGATGGGGCTGGCTTGCTTCCACCGAAGTCTCGGCTTGTGTTAAACTGAGGGGTCAGCCTGTCCAAACTGCCGGGCAGGAAAGAGATCTTTGGGGTACAGGATGCCACTTGGGGTCTCTGCTAGGAGAGGTCGTCAGCACCAGTGGGGCTTCAGTACAGGAAGTCTGATTTCCCTCTCCTAAAACAGCTGGCATCATCAGGAGCTCTGGGGGAGCAGAATATGGTCCCAACAAGGAGTTAAATCAGCCTTTTGCCTCTCTCTAGCGGGTCCTGAGCCCCTCCTAAGCAGCCAGAAAAAAAAGAGTAGGTGTTAGTAGATGAGACATTGCCAAGGCCTTTTCTAAGCTTCCATGGTTGCTGCTCCCATGCTTCCCCCTGTGTGAACATTCGTAAGGAGGAACCTTCCACAGTCCCGCTCAGACCCATCCCGTTGTTTACAATAAGGCGGCGGGGAAGCTTTTAAAGAAAATCTCTGGGTTTGTAGGCTTTTCTCTCATGAGGGGACTGTGCGGATTCAAACACACCGGGCCCACTTAGCGCTGAGACTGGACGGGGCTGGGAGCACGTGGGCAGCCGGTGCTGCACCGGACATTTCTCAGGTACAAGCTGCTGTGCCTTAACACAGCTCAGCTGGTTTTGGGGCTGTTGCTCTAAAAAGGCGAGTTTCCTGAAACACAGTCTGCTGCCCTGGTGTTAGCACCTGGAGTGGCAGCCTGGTCCTAAAGGTTCTGTGATCCCCTCGAGTTAAATCAAGGTCAAACGATAGACGGCCGGTTAAAATGTTTTACTTGCAGTAGAAATACTTGGAAAAGGGTAGTAAGTGATGTGGTCTCTTATAAATCTATCAGAATGAAAAGAAAGGAGAGAAAGAGAGTCAATGAAATCCAGTCCCCAGCCCTGGATCCAGTATTGTCTCAGGTCTGGTGATCGTACACTCACTAATTTTTTCTGTCGCCTTTTCAGTTCATCTTACCAGCTGATTTGCATACTAGATGAGGAGGGGCAGGTATTCCACCAACTCATGTCCATGAGAGACAAGGAGAAGGTGGAACGGGGGTTCTGCGTGTGCACTGAGGGGGAGTTGGGTTCACCAACCCTCTCGTCCAACGGAGTAGTGGTTGTGATCTCCCCGTCACCTTTATTTCTCTTCCCGTTGTTACAGATTTTTGCTGACTTCTTGCTTCTTGAGCGGTCATCCGGCTTCTGGGGCAGAAATGCTCACCTCTTACCGGTCCTGACCACCTCTTTGATGATCATGTTGTTGGCAAGGCCTGCATGGTGTCAGGTTTACACAGCAGAGCCACAAAGTACTGGGCTTACACCAGTGATCAGCGCTCCTTGGGCCTGATGAGAAATGTTTGGTTTCACTCAGTCCAGCTTTCCCCCTGTGAGGCTTATCTAAGGAGTTTGGGGATACAACCACAAGAGAGTGGGGATGTGCATCCTTTGACACACTCCCGCTTCCTTGGGTGGCATTCCTTAAACTAATCTTAGACTAAACTGAGACTAAGCTCCTTAGGCTAACATCCTTGAGGTTTTCTGTGTCAGTGAATGTTTGAGGCATTCCTTCCTTCAGTTCCTTACACCTGGCCAGGGAGTTACTCATTGACAAACTACAGCTGCTCCAGTGCTCCTGACTCTTGGCCTCTCTTGTGAGTTGCTAAAAAAAAATTCAGTGTTGCTGGGCCTGTTATTTTCCCAGCAGGAATTGTTGAAAGATAGTTACTAATTTCATCAGTAAGGACAGTTTGTGCCATTTCAGAAAAAAATGTATCTTGGAAGGTACTTAAGAAAACTCCTTGGAACTAGATGACTGATCAAGGACTGTCACAAACAGAACGACCAAGGTTGTATCATATAAGGAAGGAGAATTCAAAGGTTCAAACAAAGCTCAAGGAAAGTTCCTCTTCTAAAAGACTGCCAAAGATCCCAGGGAAGCCCCTCAGAGACCCAAGCCCCACACATAATGACTATGTAGATACGGTAATTAGTTCTGGGAAATTTAATACACATGTAACAAGTGATAGAAGCTTTGGCTGAGGCAGCGTACGGTGGACACGTTAGGTGGAACGATTCCCTCATGTCCCTGACTGAATAAAGTAACGCCTGCTCATTAACACAAAACCCAGCATTAAGGAGTTTTATTCCCCATCTTGGTGACAGAATCAGCAATTACCTGCTTGTCCCTCGAGTTCCAGAGGATAAAATGGGCTCTGATGACCAGTACAAACCCTAGCGCTGCTTTGGCGGCTCAGATACCCAAGACGTGAATGTGTTTTGGGGAAGAATCCACACTTTCCTGTTAGCCCACAGGCAGTCATGGGGCCAGCGTGACGATGGCTGCCAAGGCACCCCGCTAATTACCTCTGTGTAATGACAGGGAAGAAGCTGCCCTTGGCAGGGGAGATCTTCCGGGCGCTCCTGTGCTCTGAAACAGGATTAAGATGGAACGCTGAGGTTGTATTTGCAGTCCCCTGTGGAAAGAGGTCAAGGTGCCTCTCGGCGTGCGTGCCCGTGCTGTTTTCCAGCAGGCAGAGCACGTGGTCAGCTCTGGGGCCAGGGACCGGCCGCTGAACCTTCACCCTGGCGTGTCCAAGCACAACGGGGAGGGGAGAAGGGAAGAGGGAGGACTGAAACGTTGCCTCGCTGCAACCCGAGCATCCTCCTTCCCCGAGGAACACGTAAATCCTGGGAAACTGGAGCTGCGAACGTCCCACGGGACACAGAGGCCTGTCTCCGTAGAAAAGCTCTGTTACCTTTTCAGGGCATTACAGTGGGGCTTCCAGGATGCCTATTTCCCTGGTAGAAAAGCTAATTTTTTAATTCTGAGTGAAAGTCTCTCTTCTAGTGTATTTTATGCTGCCTTTTTGCCCAGCAGTTGGGCTACAAGCAGCCCGGCTGGCAGTGCTGAAGCTGTGCCAGGGCTCTTCCTCTTGGCCACCTCCAGCAAGTTGCCGCCACAGACAAAATCCTCCACAGCAGCACTTACTCCTGGCAGTGCCAACACACTGCTCCGGGCTAATCAAGGGCCAATTTCCACCACAATCAGGGGAAAAACACCCTTAAACCCAAGCTGCACCTTGTGCAGGTCCCACTGCAGGGGCAACAGGAGGCAAACCCTATCCCAGCTGTCCACCCAGCACCTCCTCGGGCAGTAATGAACAACCCTCCACTTCCTGACTGGGAATAAGATGAATTCTGGTTGCTGTAGTTGTTTTATTACTTCAGTTATTACAGATAAGCGGGAAACACCGCACAGAAGGCCAGAGCAAGGGCTGTCCTGATGCCGTTTACAACGTGACACTACCATGCATTTGCACCCGGTTTTGCCAGTAACGAGCGTGTTTTCTCCCAGCGCAGGGCACAACAGGTTTCCTCCTCTTTCTCAGAGAAAAAGCAAAGGGGAGAAGTTGGCCTCAAAGTGGCGGGGAGCTGTGCTGGGAGCACGTGGCAGGGACAGGGCTGTGCCAAGGGAAGGCAGCAGGTTCAGCGAGCAAAACCCTCAACCATGCAAGCACCAGCCCCGAGGGGAACCGGCCAAGTGTCCCCGCAGCCCTTCACAAACCTGCTCCGGGCGTCTCGGTCCCACATCGGGGCTGGGTCGCTGAGCAAAGAGGTACAAATTTGGCAGATTAGTGCAGCTAGAGATGTGTGCTAAGTTTTGAGTGGATTTTACTCCTGTTCCTCGAGTCCCAAGCAAACGCAGCAGTGTAGAGCAGAGGTAGGACAGTGGAGAAGGGAACAATTTCACATCACTGGAGAAGCGAAGGGGTTGATCTCTCGGAGGACAAAGGCCATGCTCTGACCCTCTCGGCCTTACATCCTACCAAGAACCCGCAGAGCAACTCCTTTAAATTAAGTCCTACTAGAAGAGAAGCATAAATTTTGCTGGAGAAGTTGCCCGCTTCCACATCAGCTTGTTTCAACACCCAGTTCCAGGAGTACAGACTAATTTCCCAGCCATCTTCCAGCTAAATTAAGACTCCGTTGGGAAGCAGAGCTGATGCCTGTGCAACCAACAGGGAAGTTGTGCCTCCAGCGACAGCTGAAACTTCATGTGTCATCTCAGATGTTGAGGAAGAGAGTGGAGTGTTTTGCGGGGCGGCCGCTCTGGAGACGCAGCAGACGGCTGCCTGCTAGTGAACAGTTCTTTCCTTCTGCCTCTGGTAATCTGGAAGGGAAAGAGAAGGCAGGGCTGAAAGAGCAGGAGAGGCACTCGCTGATGGCAAGGGGGAATTAGCCAAAATATTAAAGGAAAATTCTGTTTGCCCGCTTGGGTAGCAGCTGCCTTTACAACACCATACTCACACCCCAGCCAGTCTTTCCAGGTTATTTCAGGGCATTTAGAACAAAAGTTTGTTTCAAGTCCCCTCTTCCCCTGCTCCATATTTTTCTTCTTCACATAAGAGTTAGTTTCCATTTTATCAGGAATCCTGGTTTAGCTTGATGTAACCTCTATTTCCCCCCCCCCCCCCCCCCC